TATTTCTACATTTATTAATTTCGCTGATGAGTATCGTATTCCCTTGCGCACTCCCCCCGCCCCAGCTTTTTATCGCTAGATTCTGAAACTTTAGAAACCATTCGAAAAATTCCCCCGCTTTGTTTAGTGTACATGGGTTTCCTCTCAAGGAGTTATTTTATTGGCAAATAATATTCACTTGATTGCTTTTATTTTGATTCAGTGTCAGTTTTTATTTGCATTTTTTATGAACATTTTATCCATTTTATTTTCCTTTCCCTTGATTATACGAAATGTATTTTGTGCAGATTCTTCGTTAAGCTACTCTAATGTGAAAGTATTGTCACACTTAGCAAATTTTCCAAATATGTGATTTCATCTTATTTCTCTTATTTCCGTTTAGCTCATTTTAACCTTATTTACTGCTGACGGGTTCAATGCCTCGAAATACGGGTCTTTTCATTGTCTCCCTTCTCCTTCGTCCCTCTGATTCTCCCTTGCGAATCGCTGTCAAGACTCATTCATGCAAGGTGTCTCTGCCCAGGCAGAACACCTTCCAAAATGCGTATAATTTTGGTGAAATAAAGGAATGGCATCATTTGCGTATTAGTTTAACGAAAATTATACGAGTAAAAATGTTTAAGATATTGACGACATTTTTAACATATTTTCCAAATGTTATTTTAAAGGAAATTATACGAAATAAAATGTATAAAAAATACTACCGACATCATAGTACATTTCATTCCTTACTTTTACGAATATTATACGAATTCTAAAAATCTTGAAAAAGAAATCTGTTATTTTTGCATTATACATTTGTTGTTTCCTTTTCGTCAAGTAAAAAAGAAAAGAAACACACACTCTAAAAAATCAGAATTTTAATGTCATATTTTAAGTATTTTAATGTTTTATAAATAATAATAATACGAAATTTATATAGAGAAATTTATATAGTTATTCAAGCAATATTTTACACGAGAAAACTTTTAACATGATTTTTTAATGTGGAACATACATTTTATTTCATTTTGTTTAATTTATGATGCACAGAATATGCGGAAACTTTAATTATTATCAAAAAATTGTAACTCGCTGATTATGCGCTTAGAAGAGGCATAATTAGAGCGAAATATTTTATTTTGTTTCGTGCTTACTAACTTTTAAGCACTTAAAGTATCTAGAAAATCTAAAATAATTATATTTTCCTTAAAACAATTACGGACATTCTTAATTTAGAAATCTTCAAAGTGAGCATAATGTTTTTTCAATAACTAAAGGCCCCATTCAATTGAAACAACGATGATCGCAAAAACAGCGATCATTGTATCCAGCATTTACGATCACTTTCGGAAACGAGTGATTTTTCGCATTTAATTGAAACGCTTCATTACCCGTCGAACTGATAGGGGTTACCAGAGGTTACACGACGCGCGATTCTGATAATCACGTGGTGGGAAGTTGCGTTTTTTCCGAATTAACCAATGAAAACCTTTCTCTTCCGTTAACTGTTTTGATAACTGACAACCACATAACTTTTTTGTAAACATTGCGTAGGTCTGAGAAATGGATCGCAAAAGAACAGCTGCGTTGAATGCTCATAAAGTATCGGTATTAATCGATCTTCTAGAAAGCCGATTTGATAAGTGGGAAGTTGGGAGGCAGCTATCCAAATGTCGCTACAGTGAGAATGGCATGGGAAGAAGTTGCATCCCAGTTAAATATTTTGGGTTCAGGAATTATTCACACTGGACTTGAAATTAAAAAAAAAAAATGGATAGATTTAAAATATGGAACTAAAAGAAAAGCATCGGAAATAAGTTAGGCTGCTCTACAGACGGGTGGAGGTCCCCCTTCTGCCCCAAAATTAAGTGATGTGGAACTAAAAATCATGGCCCTAATTGGAAGGACATGCGTGGCAGGAGTTTGCGGGCAGGAGTTTGACAGCACGTATGTCCAGTTAAAGGTAAGCATATTTTATGCTGGAAATTAAAGTAAAAAATTATATTAAATAATACTATATATGCTGAAGCTAATTTATATTTACATTTCTACAGGAAGTGCCAGTTCACCCAAGTACTTCTAAATTAGGTATGTGCAAATTTTTTTTGTGGTCTCTGCAACTTTGAGTATTGAACTGCTCTGTAATTTAGATTATTGAACTGCTCTGTAAAATTAAATAAGTATAGAAAAGTCGTGTTACTTCTTATTTGCTGTTGTTTGATAAAAGAATTTCTTCTAGTAAATTTGCCTTTGATCACTTCAGATATAGAGCACCTGGTTTGAAATATTTTGCAGCCTGTAATTTTAAAGTAATAACATTTTTAGGTGGGACTATTCTAGGGCTTCTCCATTTAACACAGACCAGTGTATCTAATGTAGTATTTAGGCAGTGCACATAAATGTGCTAAAGATTGCAAATGAGACGTTAAAATTTTTATATAAATGTGTGTAATGTTATCACTTTATAATGTACTTTCTAGCTCTGTAAGAATAATACTCAGAATTATTTATTTGCATGATTTTGGTATTTTATGCTGCTACAGTATTAGGAAAATAAGGTTGATATATAGATGGCTGAACAATAAAAAAAAATATGCTTTCCTACTACAGCATACTGATCTGAATTTGTGCTGGTGGGTTGTACACAAATTAATGAACACAATTTGCTGCTCAATTTTTATCCAAGTTTTTCAACAACTATATATATTCACAGTTTCCTGAAGAAATATTTAAAATCTTCAACCAGTATCAATTTTTCCTCTCTCCTTTTGTTATTTATTCGGGCCGAGTTGCTTGCATTTTGCACGCATCTGTTGTTTTGCAGGGAAAATGTTCAAGTCGTACTCTGCTACTTGTGAAAATTAATTTATATCATTATAGTAGTCAAAGTAATGGTCGTACCAAGCATCTGAGGCATGTCACAGAACGGCCCCGAAGCTCAGTCCTGGTGCAGTAAGTAGTTATCCTTCAAGCAGTATAACTAACCACTATCAAAGAAGGCATTTTAAACTTAGAAATGTGCCATCTCAGAAAAGAAAATTTAACTTTGATTTTTGGATAAACGGACGATATTTTAATGTAATGTCTTAATTCATGTATATTTAATGAACTTATGTTACATTTTATGTGCAATCACAGATTGTTTGTTACATTAGAAATACTTGGAGAGGAGGAAAATTTTTGATATATTACTGGGTTCAAAGCACTGTCAGAGTTTTTGCATAAAAACAAAGTATTTAGAATGTTTTTGGATGACCTTAATTCCTTTTTTTTTTTTTTTTGTTTTTATAGATCAAAACAAAGAAAATATTGAAAATGACTATATTTTTAATAGTAGGTATGTTGCTTATTTTTAATTGTGATTAATATAAAAATGGACAAAGCTGTATTAACTGCATTATTCTTTCCTTAAACGAGTCGGTGTACTAGCTTTTGGAGATTGATTTTAAATTAGTAGAAATAATTTTATTATATTTGTAGCAAGTGTTTAACATTGTTTTATATTACTAACGCTATTCATTAGGAAATGTTTCGGAAGTACTATGTTAAAGTGATTTTGACATAAGAATTTCGTGTTCAGAAATAGAATATTTTGTACAATAAAATATTAATAAATTTAAATCTTTTATTTTAAAGTATATGATATGATAGCATTTGTGATGATAAAATGCATAATTGATACATATTGTGCTCTTTTTGTTTTCGTAGAGATAAGTACTAATGAAGAAATTCATTTGGATACTCCAGGTAACAGTTTTTATATCACAAATAAAAAATATACCCTTGTTCCCTTTTTAATAGTATAAGATACATAGCCAGATACAGTAAAGTGATATGTACCTGTATCATGAACATTTGTAATTAAACTAAGTTTAAAAAAAATTATTAATAAATTTGCTTAAACACTCTATCTTGATATTTTCTGAGAGTGGTCATCAGAAAAATTATAAAATAAGAATGTTTAATTAAATAGCCAGTAAGTTATCTTTGTTTTTTGATGGTATTTTTTTTTCTTTTGTTAGAATTTTTTTATAGTTATTTTGTCTATAATGTAAATACATAACGTTATAGATACTTAACTGCAACTTGAATGTATGTAGTATGTATCCTTTTGCAAGATATATTTTGAACTAAATTCGTCTGACATTAATACATCTATCTGTATTTAAACAGTATTATGCAGATTATTATGTAAATTGTGTCTCTCATATTATGCAGATTATAAATGTGCAATAAAAACAAATAGTTAAAGTAAGAGGTTTGTTAAGAAAAAGACATACCTTTTTAAATTGGACACCAATGGCTACAGATGGTGTGCTTTAGGCATTGTGCACACCTAGTAGTGTACTTTAGTAACATATAGCCTTTTATTCGGATCCAATCTATCTGTTAATTGTTGAATAACAACCGACTGAGGGAGTATTTTTTAGTTTATTATACTGCAAATGACACGATATAAATCTACCTCTATTTTTCGTGATGACAAAGTCCAAAAAAATGCTTTGTCAACACCAAGAGTTTCCCATTTGAGAAAGAAGAGGAGAACACAAGAAGTGGAAACTGAACAAAAAAATATTCAGGAACTAATTAGCTTGCATCGGGAAACAATAACTCAGCTAAAGGAAATTAACCAAACGCTGAAAGTATTTGTAATAATAAAGTGTATAAAAAATAATGTTTCGTATGATGATTTATTAAAATTATGTGAAAAATAAAATTATTTGATTGAAATGCATTTTTTCTTAATTTACACTGAAATCATAGTTGATAATATAAGAAAAGTAAATTAAGCATATAAATTGCTACAACTACAAAAAAAATGTATTATGAAATGCTACAATATACTTAATGAATTTTCTTGTTAGATTCTTCACTAAAATTATTTACTAATCATAGAAAATTATGGTAAAAGGTATATTTTACATAAATATTTATATTTTGTTTTGGTGTATGTGAATTTTATATGATAGTGTAATTCAAGCATCATTGCTAACTCTAGCAAAACAAACTAACTTTATTTACGCACAGTAATAAAATTTAAGAAAAAGAAAACCTCCACTTAAACGATATGGTGTTAAGAGCCATGGTTCAAGTGGATATCCACTATCACCAAGAAGAAAATTCTGTCTTGGTATTTCGCCGGAAACGAAAAGTTCTCTGAGTTCACTCCTTTTCCACATAAAGGAGTCATGTGTGCTGCCTGGCCATCGTGCAACAACGTGCAAAATTTCCATTTTAGCATCACAGACCTAAAATGAACAAAAAGTTTTAATTGATAATATGGTTTCATTTTTTGTAGAATATTATTAAGATTCTAATGAGACACACTATTTCCAGATTAAAAACTTAAGACTGGTACCTCTGAAAAAGTAGCGTATTTCACCCCTTCGTTTAAAAATCCAAAAACATATGTATTATATTACACGAAATGCTGAACATTAAGTAGCATTCATGTTGAAATTCTGGAATAGCCTGCTCCATTCTCTTATAGATATGAAAAAAAAATATTGTTTTATATTAAAATATTACTGAATATATAAAAAGAATATTGTTTTATATTAAAATATTACTGAATATATATAAAAAGAAACCGACCTTTAGAAAAACATAATGCAAAAGAAATATAAGAACTGAATTCTATGGCAAATTTAAGGTTTACATTAACTTTCTTAATATACTTCCAATTTTTTGCCAATTAATTTTTTTTAAGTATATATGCTGATTATTTTTGCGTCAGAGAGGAATAGTGCCGAAGTAGGGAAAAAGCACTTCCTTTAGCATAAATCTTGTTCTTCAAGCACAAAGCTTTTAACAGCACTGTTTCTCTGTCATTAAATTAAAACTAATTAAAATTTGAGGCCTGCCCTCCACAGAACAGAATGTAATGTTTTTTTACAGAATGTTAGAAAACCACATGCCACCACTTAGATTCATATATGAATGAAGTTATAAAGTAATGGCTTCAGGAGCCCGGCTCATGATGTTTACGTTTGGAACAAAATCTTCATCACGAGTGAGACTCATTAAAACATGGGAAGGGGTTAATATGATAGAATGCAATGACTATCCAAATTAAATAATTAATTCACAATTGAGTGCATGTTTTTAAGAATATCACTCAGGAACAGTTGATAATATGTATGATACTATTATAATGTGATATAATAGTTTTTGTCAACTTTTTTGTATAGCTATATGGTATCAGAACATGATTGCAATATATATGTATATATATGTATTGGATACGTACCAGTTGAATATTCAGGGCAAATTTCCCTTTACGGCTAATAAAAACAAACCAGTCATCATCTGATGGTCTCTGAATATTTATTAACGTGCCATCAATTGCCCCAATAACGTTCGGAAATCCATTTGTAAAGAAGTCACATTTCTTCTCAAAACGTGCTTCTTCACTCATTGGAAATTTCATGAACTGTGGCAGTATTTCAATTAAGATAACGCCCTGAAGATTCCTTGATACTGTTGACTGTGATGCTTGAATCAGGAAGTCATCGCCAATGACACTCTGAAATGAGCTAGTGCCAAGCAGTCGGAGTGCTGATAAAACCTAACAAAGAAAGTATCTTTTAAATAAAGGGCACAGTTATACTCAGCAAGAAACACAAGCAAATAATTCAAATTAGAATAGAAATCTAGAAGTAAATCTACTTTCTTGTTAATTTTGAATTATATTTCAACTTTGATTGTCTGAGATATGGTGGATCAGTACTAATTTGGGCAGTAATACTTGTTCACAAAGCGTTACTGTTGCTGTGAAATCAAATATGTCACTAAAGTGAAAATCAGTTGCTTGATTTGCACCGTAAGCATGAAAAAAGAAATGGCATCACATGCTTCAGAAACAAACTGGCGAAGGGAAGCAAGATTAGAAAACGTTCAAGTACATACTGCTCAATCCCGTTCATACGAAACATACGATCGACAGGATGCAAGTCGAAAATATTCGAGTACGCACTGCTCGATCTAAACAAACATTTCACACTGATTTAAAACTATAGGAGTGTCTTCCTATTGTTCAACTTATATACATATTATTCAACTTATACACATTTATATCTAATGCATGAGAAATCTAGTGTGAATTTTTTGTGTGCATGTTTCAGTGTCAATAAAGTAAGTTTTATGAATTATTAACTTGACAAACGTACAAATTTATTTTAAGAGAATGCACAACTTTTCTTAACCACACTTTTAAAGTCTTCATCAACTAGTAGATGACATAGGATTTTAATGTTTTTTATTTAAATAACAAACAATAAAGAACGACGTGAAACATTCATACAATCTGATATGGTTTTCTCTGCTGATGTAGAAGTGTATATAATAGACCATCTTACGATGAGTATCTGTGAAAGCGACCAGTATTTCTGAGAACATGAATAAGCAATATCAGTTGGAATCACAGCTTGTTATACGACAAAGTTTTGCTGCATCGGAAAAAAAAAATTAGCCTAAATATGTATGTGAAGTCAGTATTTCAGTACTGATAATTTAAAAAAAAAAGGCCAAAACCTACCAAAGAGAAAGAAATATATTACAGCTCACTTATAATAGTAATGTTATGGTGCATGCATAATAGAACTTCGATAAGTTAATGTTAATGGTGTAGAATTCAATGTACACTGCTCAAAAAAAAAAAAAAAAAATGGGACAGTGCTATATCTCCCGTTCTACTGGGCCGATCGACAAAATTCAAACTGCGTTTTTCATGTCTCGAAAGCGCGACTTAGGATATATATTAGATTTATATATAGCACTATTTTAACATAGGTATTTTGACACAAAATCGGACTTTTTCTGAAATAACATACCAATTTTTTTCCATATTTCGATTCTACGACTCAAATTATGCCAGAATACCAAGCTTTGTAAAAATCGTACGACTAGTTTTTAAAATATTAGCTCTCAAAATTTTAGCTCCTCAATGTTAAGAGAATTTGGCAAATATTTATTAATATCTCTTTTTTTATTAAACTTTTTTGATTTTTTCTGTCACATTTCGAAATTTAGGTTCATTCCAAATAAAATTTACCCATTTTTTGTGATTTATTTTTTTAATTTCTATTTTTAAATAATTTTTATAAATTTTTCGAAAAAACTTTTTAATTATAACCTATAAAATTTTTACCATCATCATAAAGTAGGTGTATTTTTAAGCATATCTGCAAAAAATTAGACTTTTTTATTCAAAATTTTCTAAGATATACACGAATTTACATGTTTTCGCGTTTTGAAATTTAGCATCTTTTTTTGAGCGATAATAACGCCAAATGTGGTCTATGGATTTTTGTTACACTGAATTGCCACAGCTATTTTTAACCTTATATTTCAAGTAAAATTTTACGGAGAATTAATTATATGAATTTTTTCCTCTCAATAAGGCGTAATAAATATTTATTAATACTATATGAAAAGCTATTTTTTAAAATTATAGATGATATTATTAAAATTTTTAACAATTTTTTTTAAATTTCTCTCTTTCTTCCTTTTTTTAAAAAAATAAGAGTACATTTTTCTAAGAATAAATTTTTACCTTCGGAGTTTTATCGTCTGCTACTTTAATTCGTTTAAATCCAATTGTCTAAAACTGAGAATTTTCGTTTAATGTTTATTTGAATTTTATGACATTAACTGCATAATTTATTTCTAAACAAACTGTTGCTTTTGAAGTGACTGAAAGAGCGGCAGATACTACCATCCATATTTTTAAAGCACAGTATATTTTTATAGAAACATAAGATTTAGAATAATCATTTATATAAGTCAAATTATGATATAAACATACAACACTCTAGAGACTGAATTAGTGGAAGTTCAATGGTTATGTAGAAATGATCTGCAGCTACTTAATGGCTGGATAAGTCAGCAGCTTCTGTGGACAAGTAAGAATAATTATATAAACGACACACAACATTCTGGATTCAATTAACAACGAGGATACGATGTTTATTAAATGAATTTAAGAAGTTTTAACACATAAAAAAAAAACAACTCATTTTTTATCCTAAAATGTATTTTTGTTCGCAGCGTATTTTCATTATATTCTTAAAATTCAAATTTAGAATGTAATTGTCAAGAACTGAATCCTAATCATCAGTAATATAATAAGTAATCATTACGGTTATTAATAATCCTTCTTATAAAGTAATTGCAAATATTTCAAAAAACTTTCTGTCTGAATGCAAATATTTTTCTATGCAAAATTTTTAATTTTATATTAATCAAGATCGCACACGATATTATTTATTTGCACTTCAATTTTTACCGTCAGCTCTAGAAGTTACAAATCAATTATATTTAACTAAGGATTGGATTAGATTATTTAATTATGGCAAAGCACACGAGGGCTATAAGCCTAAAGGGAGGGATGCCTTCGTGGAAGACTTTCTAAGGTAAACTGGCTCGTATACACGTTACACATGGGGAAAACCACGAAAACGCCCAAGCAGCCAGCCCGTTCGCGGGATTCGAACTTCAGACCGAACTACCAGTGCTCAGCGTCTTTTCCGCTCGGCCGCTGGTGGGCTATTTAATTAAGGAATTACCATCTAAATTTAGAAACAGCCTACCGTAACAGCAATTCAAGTTATTGGCATCGTATCTTTCATGTTACTCATTTTACTTTCATGCTTAGATTTACATGTTACAAGCTATATGATTTTTAATGAGTATTCGGGTTTTGCTACTAACTTCATTTGGAAATGGCGCTTAAACTAGGTTAGTTGGTTATTTGAACATAGAAAGAACATGGGAGCTATTTGGTTAAGATGCTTTCATAGAGAACCTTTGTAAAGAGAACCTAGAAAACTACGAAAACCAACCATGCAGCTTGGGTTAGACTTTGCAACAAACAATTAGTATTTAACAATCTTCAAATGCTAGGCAACTGGTGAGGCTCCAATTAAATCTGCAATTTAATATTTCATTTGTAAATATTTAAAATATTGTTGTATACTTAGACACAAAAAGCAGAATTTAATGTTAACTCGTTAATAAACTACCAAGCCGTACTGCAAATGAATATTCAATTTCTTTTGCAATAATTGTATTCACTTAATATTCTTGGAATATGAGCTAAAGAAGGGACGTTCTCGGAAGATTAAAGAAGTGTTTAAATCCAGTGATATAAGGTTTGTTTTAGAAGCTCAGGATCAAAACGATTCTGCAATTGCCCCAATAGTTGACTTGTAAATGCCTGTGAATTAAGCAGATGACTTTTAATCTTACGTTTTCAGTCAGACAACGTATTCCAAATGTTTTGTATTGCATGATAATGCATCTTTTCATTATTCAATAACCAGTCGGAGAACCGCTTGTGTTCCGAAAATAAGTATGTGTACTCAATCTTCCTGCATGTTTTTCAAATTTGTCTTCTTGTGATATTTTTTCTTTCCCCAAAACTAAAGTTGTCTCTCAAAGGAAAGTTTTTTTGATATTGAAGAGACAAAAGGAGTATGACAGGAACAAAAGGAGTATCTTTTAGAGGCATGTCAAAAACAAATCTCTACAAGCCTTCTCTTCCATTACATGTTGTGCAGTCAGACAAAATGCTGCATCAGCGTAAATTCTATAATCTATTTTATTACACTCTGATTACTTTACTAACATACAGTGAATATATACTAAATCTTTAACTTCAGCTTAAGTAATTCGGAATTTTTGACGGAATTCTTGTCGGAACTAGGTCTTAGAAGATAAGTCAAATTAAATATTTCGATAACCCAATAAATTCAAGGTCGAATTTCAAAATTTTATTTTCGAAGGAAGGAGAAATTTTTTCAGTTTTGGTCCATTATCCTAAGTATATTTGCTTCGATTCTTTATTTTTCCATAAAAGCGAAAAATTTACGTATGGTATACATATAACGCATAGCTTCAAATGAAAATTTAATAATATACGGAGTGGTTATAATTAAAGTTCCACATTGAAATGGTCATAAAACGAAAACTACTGGATCAAATGTTATCAAGCTTGGTAATCGTGTAAAGGAGGTCATAGGAATTTATTTTCCGGGAAAAAAAGGAAGTTCGAAACCTCACCACCAGGGGGGAAATGGCGCTGTATGCAATATTGTTAAACGAAATATGGGTCGGAATCTAACTTAACCTTTTGTTACACGGGTTTAATATGTTGTATACCCTTAAGAAACTTTGAAGTAAGCAAATTACCATTTAAAGGCGTTAAATTCGATAAACGTTGAGTGCGCCATCCGTGTAAGTGAGAAATTCGTCCGTGAAAACCACGAATTAGCGATTAGAAAATGTGAGATCGCAAATCACTCGCACAAGTCGTACAATCTGGAAATCATTTTCTTACAGATTGCTAATTTGTAATTTTTGAAGCCTGAATTTGGCCCTAAAACATAAAGATACTGATTCAAAACGCTTTCAATCAATTTGGGCCACAGAAATCTCTCGTGTTATATATCTAGTTCCATTGCATTCTCCTACTTCATTCGATTGCATAGCAGTCATTTCACACCGTTTAGTGTTGAATGACAGCTACTGTTATAACTGAACCATTTTTCTCTGAAGAGCAGTCGACAG